TGTTTGTCGTATTAATAGTTTAGACATTATTTTCAATTCAATTCAAAATGTCTTACAATTAATGACTTTATATAATGACTATAATTACAGTTATTAGCAAAAAGTGGGGAAAATTGATAACAAAATAACAATTTGTTTCAATTGAATGCGATTTTTGGGCTAATATTTGGCTAAACGAGTGAATAGTATTGAGTGGAAAAAGTGATGCAAATATAGACAGATATATGACTTTTGGACTCTAAATAGATTTGATATGAAAATTAATTATCAAAACAATTAATACATTATTTGAGAGCAATTCAAACCAATAGTCAAATAAGTTATTGAACTTCAATACCAAACAAACGCTAACTTTTCATATCATAAACATCAAGTCAATCAAATGCCCGACACTTGCACTCTTGAGAGACACCTATAGTATGAACACAACACTTGACTTTTGAAAACTTTTTATTCAACAATTTACACAAGAATTTCAATGAATTGGCATTCATTGAGATAATAATTAGAAAAATTTTATATTTAATATACACTCAAATGCATGAATGTATGAATTAAAGATCACTATTAATAATAGTGCTGTGAATACACCTGTTATGTCAACTGTATTGTAATATAGACGGGAATAATGTTACTCGACTATAGTAACACTAAAAATTGATACTTAAATATCGATATTTTAGATTCAATTATATTTAACAAAATTCTGTTGATTTGTTGGATTGTGGCTGAATTTATATTGAGTCAACTCAGATGCATAAGAAATATGAATTTAAAAATCTGATATCTTTTTAAAATATAAATTAAAAATGATACTGTATTTTACTATTAAATAGTAATATTATATTACTAATATACGTAAAACTATTATTTTTCAAACAAAATCCTTATACTTATGTAATCTTCAATTCAAATTCTATAAGAGAACTTCAAATTCTTAATTTTATAGACAAAATTGTAAATCAAATTAATTTTAAACAATAATTTACTGAAATTCTTTTGAATTAATACAGGAAAACATAAAGGAATTCATTATGAAAGGCAATGTCTTGTTAGTCAATTATAGACAATTATTATTATACAGTAGATAACTGAACATAAAATAAATAAATGATTTTGGTGTCATTTGAAAATAATATTTAATGTAATTATGAGTAAAATAGAATACATTATCAATAAATTTATAATTCTTACAATTATTACATAAGATTAATAGTTATATTTTATTACATTTAATGTTTATAAAAATAGAATATAATACAAACAAATAATTGTGCAAAATTATTTATTAAAAGTGAGAAATTTATTTAGTAAATTCAATTATTTTGTATATTTACTTAACTATAATTTAATAAAATTTATAAAAGTTAAGAACAAATAATATAATACAAACAAATAATTGTGCAAAATTATTTATTAAAAGTGAGAAATTTATTTAGTAAATTCAATTATTTTGTATATTTACTTAACTATAATTTAATAAAATTTATAAAAGTTAAGAACAAAACCAATAAAAAAAATTAAAAAAATATTTTTACAATGTAAATTTAAATTCCTTAAAATAATGGTTATATCTGTCGGATACATATTTTATATTTTATGGCAGAAGTCCGAAACTGGTTTTAGAGCTACTGTATATTTAAACATATACAGTTATACATATACATATACAATTATATATTGGCTAAACAATATATGAGAAGGAGTTGACCAAAAAAGTTATACCCCTTTGAAACACTTTCTTAACTTTCTTTTCGTTTGAATATTTCAATTGTTCTTCAGATCCCCCGAAATAATGGGTAAAAGTATAGGTAATTCTGTAATAAGCTGTGTGTCTGTAACTTCCAGCAAACGTGAGCCGAAGTGCTGTCGGTGTGGGAATCACGGACTCATCACTCTTCTGAAGCACCATAAAAGACATTGTCGTTGGAAAGACTGTGATTGTCATAAAT